AAAGAAAAAAGAAGAAAGAAGAAAGAAGAAAGAAGAAAGAAGAAAGAAGAAAGAAGAAAGAAGAAAGAAGAAAGAAGAAAGAAGAAAGAAGAAAGAAGAAAGAAAGAAAGAAAGAAAGAAAGAAAGAAAGAAAGAAAGAAAGAAAGAAAGAAAAGAGTGAGTCCTGGGAGCAGGTGAGTGCAGTGTGTTGGGAAAGGCCATTTCATGTACCCAGTCTATCCACTCCCACTTGGACACTGGGACAGGTCTTGGGCTGTTAACTGGGAATTAACACCTCATCTCCCTGTAATGTGAGCATCACATGGCTCCTAGCCAACCACTGCTGTACTTTCCCCCTCCCTGCATGGAGATTTTTAGTGTCCTTCTGCAGCATAAGAAGGGTGCAGGTGGCCCACTGCCCTCTGTCGAATGCCTAGTGGACCAGTGTACAGGGGATATATTCACACTGCTAAAGCTGATCAACTTGTGTATGGGGGACTGATGAACACTATTGAATCTGATCCTTTTCTTCCCTGCAGTGGGGATTGACCCTTCACACTGAGCTACATTCTCAGCTCTTTTTTATTTTTTATTTTGAGACAAGGCCTCACTAAATTGCTAAATTGCCCACATTGGGCTCAAATTTGTCATCCTCTTGTCTCAGTCTCCCAGTGGATGGGATTCTATGTATATCACCATGCCTCGCTTGAAGCTGATCTTGCTCTGTCTCTTCGTGGAGGTAAGGTGTCATTCCATCCGGCCCCTTACAATGTTGCTTTTCCACTAGTAACTCTGATACCCAGTTGAAAGGGGCAGAGGAGTTTAGAGTCCTCCTCGAGGGGTGGATCACACATGCACAATACTCTGCTTCCTTAGGCTTAATAACTGATGTACAGTATTCTGCTCCACAATTCTACTTAACCCAGTGTGATAGAAATCCAGAGAGCTCATTATACACTGTAGAAATAAGCAAAGATGTAAAGGAGGCTCTAGTGACAGAAGAATGCAATCGGAGTTTTTTAAAATTTTGATTGACATAATAATAGCACATACATATGATACAATGAAATTTTCAAAAATACATGTACACACTGTGTAATTACAAAATCAGTGTAAATATCATATCGATCACCTTAAATAGTTATCATTTCCTTGTCTTGAGAACATTCAAAGTGCTCTCTTCTAAAGATCTGAATATGCTCTCTTCTAATATTTGAATATTTATTAACTATTGTCACCTCACTGTGCAATAAAGCACCAGAATTTATTCCTCCTGTAGCATTAGGTGGGTGGTCTTTGAGGGGCTATAGGTCCCAAATGACTCTCCACCTTCCCTCAGGTGTCTCCAGGCTCCTCACTTCCACTCTAGTGAAAGATGGGGGAGTAGGGCAAGACTGACTTAGACCAGAAGGTTCCCAGTGGAGAACGGGGAAGTAGGGGCAGCAGAAAATGAGGAAGTTGTAAGTGAAAGTAATGCAAAGCAAAGGTTTATTTATGATATCATGAGTGCAGGGAAAAGCTGCCAGGTAGCGGAAGGTGCCACAAAGCAGGGGGAACTGGTCTGAATTCCTCAAAGTCAGGGGACCACTGTACTCATACTTAATAGGGTCAATCTGGTTTCTAAAAATGACTGTTTCACTGATTGATGTGCTCTAGGCCAGTCAGGGTCTTAGCCTTTATCTCTGGGCTGAGGACAAGGTCGGGGGCTGGGGGGCTACACCAAGTGCATGTTAGAGTTTCACAAGGAGTAGCTTCCTCATCAACAGTACATGATAAGCATGTAGTAAATTGACAACCATCAGCCACCCAGGTCCTGCCTTACATTGTCCCTGCCTATGTCCAGCTAATCTGGCCCTACATTCCTAACTATGAAGTTGTACTTATTGACAAACTTCTGCTCACCCTCCCCATTTCCCTACCATCCCCAGCTTCTTATAACCACTATTCTACTCTCATTTCTATGACATCAACTTTTCCACGTTCCACAACTGAGATCATATGCAAGGCACTTCTCTTTCTGTGCCTAGCATATTTCTCTGAACATAATGTCCTCCAAATTCATCCATGTGGTCCCATGTGAGAAGATTTTATCCTTTTTAATGGCTACATGTTATTCCATTGCAATATATACTGTATATGCCACATATGCTTTATCCATTCACTTGTTTATGAACATCTATGTTTATTCTGTGTGTTGGCTTTCGTGATTAGTGCTTAAAGAAACATGAGAGTACAGATGTCTATTCATCATACTGATTCTGCTTCCTCTGGATATTTACCCAGTAGTAGCATTCTTCTATCATACAATAGTTCTATTTTAAATTTTTGAAAAACCTCCATACTGTTTTCTATAATTACTCTACTAATTTACATTCCCACCAACAATGTGCAAGGATTCACTTTTCTCCACATGCTTGCCATCACTGTCATCCTTTTTTAAAAAATAAGACCTATTCTTACTAGCAAGAAAAAAAAAAAAAAGAAAAGAAAATGGGTAAGAGATCTGAGCTGACATTTCTCAAAAGGAGACACACAAATGGCCAACAGGTATATTTTAAAAGATTGCTTAATGTCACTAGCTGCTGGGCAAATATAAATAAAAATTATAGAATAAGATTGGAATCTTATAATATGAACCTCAGTCCCGCTTTGGAGCCTTGATGAGTCAACAATGTGAAGAATCAACAAGAAAAGAGATCTCATGGGTGTGTCTTGGAGGAGGGGAAAAGATGGATAGCCTGATTTAAACAGCAGAGAGGAGCAACGGCCAGCTACAGACCTGAGGACCTGTCCTGAGAGTTAGCCCTTTCACCGGGACTCCCACTTGGCCTCAGACAAAGCAGCTGGGACTCTCCATCAAGGTAAGAAAAGGATATGTTAAAATACATAATATTCTTCACAAAATTTCATGTGCCTGAGACAGATGCCCCATCCTTCAGGCATGAGAATGCTACAGGACAATGTATATGCAAAGGTTTTCCAAGAGGTAAGTAGGCATATAAATTTTATAACAACATATAATGTGTTAAATATTGTTATTCTATTATTTTGTTGTGAAATTTTGTTTCACTTTTTTTCCACAAAATAAAAAAATATAAAAAGGAATAATGAAGAAATTAATCTCCTCATTCAAATGAAGGACTCAGAATACAAGTTTATAAAATATGCAGGGAAAACCTAGGTCATTGTCTTCTGGAGCAAGGGAGTAACTATAGAGGATATGAAGGGTCTTTTGCAGCAATAATAATGTTCTAAGACAATCTGATGATTGTACAACTTGGCAGAGCATCTAAAAAAATCATTGGCTTTTACATCTAAATTGTATGTCCTATAAAATAGACTAATAAGTTGCTTCCTTTAAAAACCAACTCCTCACAAATGAATGTAATCATTATGTACTGGAAAGATGTACAAATAAAAAAATTTTAAAACAAAACTATAAAATCAGATTTAATTGGAGTTGTGAAGTGATCATTTTTAAAACCTTAAAATATTCTAGACATGGTGGCACAATCCTATAAATCACAGTGTTGAGGAGGCTGAGACAGGAGGATTGCTATAAATTTGAGGCCAGCCTGGGCCACATAGTGAGTTTAAGGCTAGCCTGAACCACATAGCAAAACCCTGTCTAAAAAATAGAAAAAAAGGGAAAAAAAGAAAGAAAAAAATATATATATGCTTAAACGTAATCAACTCTCAAGTATTCAATGTGTATCTGTGGTCTTTTCTAAGGACGTTTCTGCCTAAGAAACACTAGTGTTCAAAACTGTGTAAAATTTCCTCTCCCATCTCCCCTTTTTGTTAGCTACACTCAAAAAGGAAAGACAGTCACAGTTTTCATCTATCCTTATTTTCACTCTGCGCTATTGACCCAGAATGAAGGAACATGCCGGTTGTAACAGAAAGACTGTGCTAATATTGGTTACTGCAACGTCTCCTTCAGTGACTGATGCCTCCGGGTCTCTTTACCATACTTTGGTGAAGAGTGCAGCATGGTATTAGAAATTAAGTGTTTTCACCTGTCTTAAGATGCTCTCAGTTCTGATATATTGTGTAATGGGATGCATTGAAAATTTTATTGAAGGGTTCCATCTTACCGCATCTCAACTCTGAGTTGTACAAGAGCAAAGCGACAGTGGCCCTGACACAAACTATGCAATTCTGAAAGTAGCTATCCCAAGAACTTAAATGTATACATTTTTTTCAGCTCTTTTCAGCTCTCAGCCATACGTTGTTCTTACGCAAGGGGAAAATACCTTTGAACAAATGAAGCCAAAATGTTCGGAGATGGTGGTATAAGGACGTTGCCAAATTTTTCAAGATATATTGGATAAAAGTTATAAATAGAAATTTCACTTGACTTCAGATTGAATATGAGTTGAACAGGAAGGTGGTACAAGCCCATTTTGCCAAGTCATATCATGGGATCCAAAATGCAGCTCCATTACCACCAATCCTATGTGGGCCCTTGAATCTGCCCAACTTCATACTTTGTTGGCAATCACTTCCCCTACTCTGTTGACACTGCTCCTCATTCTCAGCTCATGGCCTCACTTCCTATTTTGCAGTAGGACTCTTTGATGATTGATATCTCAGGGCTTCTTATCTTTACCTTAATTTGGTTAAGAGTGGAGCCTGGTATAAGAAATTAAGTGTATTCACCTGTGATAAGATGTTCTGAACTCTGAGGTATTGAGAATTGACAGTTCTCTTTTAAGAACCCCATCTTACCTGAGAAAATGAGGTGATAGTTGTAGGTCATGGGAAAGGAACCCCTCAGTCTACAGTTCTCTATTATAGCAGGCCAACCAAACTAAGATAGTACCTTATTAACAGTCCAGCATGGGTCACCAACCAGCACTAGACATTTAGAAGCAGCAGTACGTAGATAAGCCTTAGTGAAAGGAAGTCAGTTCTTAGGTCTTTGCGTTACCCCTCTCCCTCCAACCAAGACTACTCTATTCCTAGATCCATCTTGCAAATACCAAGGAGGATTAAGACAGAGGTTAGCTGACCCTGTGAGCCATGCCAACCTGTCCACTTATTTGTTTAGTATCTTCCCTGCAATTGCTACTTTGTGATTAACATGCAATGTAATGATTAACATACATGTAATGTATGCTCCCCCTATTAGTCCATCCACATGTCTCTTCCCAAAATCTTCTTATATCTGAGTTCCTCATATTGCACTCCTTCCCAGGCCCAATCAATAAGCCAAACCATGTTACTACTCAGAAATCCATGGATACCTATGGTATTATAAAAAGGGTACACTTAGTTTTTATAGTTTGTAGCACAGTGCCCCTAAAACTCTTTGTTATGGTTGATACATTGTGTCAACTTGGGGAGTCTAGAGGTTTGGCTAAGTGACTCAGCAGTTCTACATTTTGGGGTAAAAAGGACATGCCCTTACCGTTCTGGGATGTTATTTATTGTGTCAGTTTGAGAAGTTTAGAAGGTTAACTATGTGACTCATCAGGGAGCTTACTTTATATTCATCCTGAGCCTGTGCAAGAGGAAGATATGCAGAGAGTGTAGGTGTAGAGGACCACCCCCATTCCACCCCAGGGCGAGTAGGCTGTATAAAAAAGGGAATTGAGAAAGGACTGGCTGCTGGTTCTCCGGAGGAGCTCCAGTTTTCACCTTCAGCTTGGTCATCTCCTGGCTTCTGGTGCAGACTGTTCAGATTCTGCTTGGGACTCTTCAGTCTTCTGGTGTAGGCTCTCCAGCCTTCTTCATAGATTCTTCAGCATTCCCTTGCACACCCATCTGCCTCCTGATATGGACTTGCATGGACACTGCAGTGAGCTCCAGGTCTGAGGCTGGGCTCTTCAATCGTCAGCCTGCAGACACCCTCTGCACACTTCCTCATCCAACTCTGTGGCTGACCATTGTAAGCCAAACTTATAATTTCTTGTACATCTATGTATCTTGTGTTATATCTGTTTCTCTTTTAAACCCTGACTGATACACTCTTACAATCTCTTAAATGATATGAGTGTCTCCCATATGTGAATGCTATATACTTTGGAGTCTCTAGATAGTTACAAGATGTTCACTAATAGACCAAGTCAAGATTAGAGGGTTGGAATTTGCAGCCTTACCTCCCAATCTATGGGGAGACAGAAGTGGCTGAGACTGAGTCAAAGTACCCTTGGCCTATAATATAATCAGGCATGCCACTTTTCTATGCACAGACTAGCTACTAAGTTCTACTTCTCAAGTTTCTACCAATCAGAAGGAATTATCCTTGCCATTGTCTTTTAGGGCCATTCTTCAGTCAGTCTGTAGTAACTATAAGCAGTTATTCAGTGCCTGTATCAATGTATTGTATCTGTTTGTCTATTTACCTATAGCATAAGACCAGTTTCCTTCCTCTTTTGCCATTTGGCCATAGGGAAAGCTGCCCTAAAGTGTGAGTATAAGCTGAGGGAGCAGCATTACTACAATAGGGGAAAGTGACACGAGAGTCTGTTGTACCTGCCTGTGTAACTTCCTCTGGACCTGCTTAGGCCTGATCCCTATTGCACCACTTCCTGCTAATCATGGATTGCTCCTATCCCCTGCTAATGTTAGATTCACAGAATTACTCTAATAACACAATCTATGTATGATATGATGGGCTGCTTTTTTT